TGGAGAGACATACTGGACCAGGCTAAGGCTCACCCTGGGCTGTAAGGCCAAAGATGATGATGATGATGATGCATATTATGTATACGTTTCTTAAATCGGAAACCGTCTAATATTGAATCAGTAGAATGTGATATCATAAGTTTGTGGCGCCAATGCAAATCTGTGCGAATTAGTCTATGCGATGTAGATGTGTCCTTAAAAAAATTTCGACATCATAACCCAAAGAGGATATTGAAATCGTTAATATCTATACTAATATATAAATCTACAGTGGTTTGTATGGATGTTCCGTTATAACTACTGAACCATGCATCCGATTGACTTAAAACTTGGTATCCATGTGGAAAATACATGTACTTAATGGATAAGCTAGTATTTATATGAGTGTTGGACTCCCTACACCAGTTGTGGGGGCGTTAATGATGAGAATTTTTGCGGGAGTGAGAAATAATAATGTTAATTTTAAATGGCCAGCGAAGCGGACGGGTACAGCTAGTCTATACATATATTTGATTACTCGTCCCAACTCTGAACTGATCATTTAAAGCAGACTACAAACCGCTCCGAATGCAATATTCAATTTTGACAGTAGATGTATTTTATGCTTTTCGCATCACATTAGGATAGAATTTTTTTAAATGTCGCTCCTAGAGACATTTAGTATGTAGATACGAACAATAAAAGTTGCATAGAAGTTTATCATTTTGGAGGCAAAAAGAACAATATTCCAATACCCGTTTCTGCTTAGAAAAACTTACAGAAAAATCAGCATATTTCAAAATTTTTCCTATAAGAGCGCGAGTCAGGGGTTGAAAGTTTATATCGGAAATTCCATTTAATAAAGCTGTTTATATAAAATTAAAGTAAAAAATGGAATAATGTAAATAATTACTGTAATTTACTTTAAGCGTAACATCTTATTATTTATTGATAAATCTATGTTCGATGGTGGAATTCTTGTGGCTTAAGCGCTGACTGACTAGGGAAGTTGTCAGAAGCGATAATCAATATTCTATCCCAACTGCTCAATGTTCAAATACCTTTAGAGTTAAATCACGCGTTTACTATTTCTAATTTTATTATTTCGTCGTCTATTTTCCTTTCGTGTTCATGGAATCTGTAAGTATGGAGGAAGTGTGTAAGTAGCCCCGGTAATTAACAAATTAAAGAGCGGACGGTTAGCGTGGTATGGACATGTGATGCATAGAGTGGTAGGACCTCTTGTGAGTACTGGTGGTAGGACCTCTTGTGAGTCCGCACGGGTAGGTACCACCGCCCCGCCTATTTCTGCCGTGAAGCAGTAATGCGTTTCGGTTTGAAGGATGGGGTAGCCGTTGTAACTATACTGAAACCTTAGAACTTATATGTCAAGGTGGGTGGCGCATTTACATTTTTTTTTTTTTTTTATTGCTTAGATGGATGGACGAGCTCACAGCCCACCTGGTGTTAAGTGGTTACTGGAGCCCATAGACATCTACAACGTAAATGCGCCACCCATCTTGAGATATAAGTTCTAAGGTCTCAGTACATTGTAGATTTACATTGTAGATGTCTATGGGCTCCAGTAATCACTTAACACCAGGTGGGCTGTGAGCTCGTCCACATATCTAAGCAACAGAAAAAGAAAAAAAAAAAATGCGAGCAGATGCATGTGACTAGGAGATGTATGAAAATGGTAGTGCAAGGTAGAGGGGGAAGAGGTAGACCGAAGAAGACATGGATGGAGTGTGTGAATGACGATATGCGAGAGATAGGAGTGTGTGTTGAGTTGACTGCTGATAAAAGAAAATGGAAGAGAAAAATTAGCTGTACCGACCCCACCCAATAAGGAATAAGGTGAAGAAAAATAAGAAGAAGAGTTTATGGAAACTGTAAAATATACGAAATTTGGGAATTAAAGAAATGAAAATAAGCTTAAAATACATATATATATACTTGTAGAAATACAATAGATACCAGTAAAGATTTTACTTAATCAATGAGACGACACGTCGCGTTTATAAAGTCTAATAAAATCTTTGACATCACTGCCCAGAAAATGTTAACAAACTGAAGACTTGTACACCCGATTATACTTGACGTCCACAACTGAAGTTAACCGAACGTCCGTTGTCCTGTGTGCTTAGAGAGAGTTTTTTAACGTTCTCGATAGCGTAAAAGTTAGTTCATATTTGTATGTATTGGGTTCGTTTTCTAGGGGCTAGGGACGCTATTCCAACTGCATACAAAATTGGGTTAACTCTTACGCTATCGAGAGCGTTAAAGAACTCGCACTTAGTACACTGGAGTAATCGTCGTCCAAACCACGACAACTGTAAGTCTGCGGAACTTCTGAACTAACATAATATCAATATAGAACCGAGAGATTAAACTGCAAAGCATCTATATATTAATACGTGAAGCAAAAACTTTGTATCCCTTTTTACGAAAATTGCGCGGACGGAGGAGTATGAAATTTTCCACACTTATAGAGAAGAAGTGCACAATGCTAATAATTTATATTTTAAATAATGCATAATAGATACATTAAATCAATAAAGAAAACATTACACACACTACATACCATGTATTTGACGAACACACGCATGCATACTATTCATTGTCAAACTTTTGTTCTTGACGTCTGTTCTCAAATTGAGAATACATTAAATATTGTTTGTCTTTGTTAATATTTTTATAGTGTAGTCTTGGCGAAATTTGTGATTATAGAAGTATACAATACAATCATAATCAAACTTACAATTCCGATCCAATTAATTATAGTCGAATTTCGACTACTGTGGGACCTTTAGTTAGTTTTAATTAGGTCAACGACTCGCCAAAATCGAAGGATACACAAAAACTTAATGCTTACAAAGTTTTCGAGATTCGTTGAATAAAACATAATTATTAAAATGGTAATTTGACACAGTCCAAAAATGTAGAGGTCGGCGTGTCTTCAATGACAATACACAGTCCGTCTGGTTAGTTAGAGATAAGTGCGCGATCCTGCACGCCGCGACTTATTTCTGTCTTCCGTTCCTTTCCTATCCTATTCCAAACTAGTCTACTATTGCAGACATCGGTAAACCAACTGCAATTGCAACCGTTACTTAACAAAACTTGAGTCTTCGAGCACCGAAACTAAACCACAAATGGACCGTTCACTCGTCTGCCCGTGGATAGCAAACCGATAATCACTGTGTTACCTCTGCCTTAGAATTTGAGAGGAAATAATTAGACCAAACAAGAGTTCATTGTTAGCCGCTGGCAAAGTGTCATGGTTACACATGATGGTGTATAACAAAACTGTGCGCCTGTACAACAAAAACCCACAAGATGTTCAGAACCTACATATACATAGGTTTAAGAAAACTATTAAAGAACATCTGTGCAATAAAGCTTACTATAAAGTCAATGATTATCTAGAAGATTGCACAAAGTGGGAATGAGTTGCTCGCTCCGGGCATTTCAATATTGTAATAATTGTTATGTTATTATACTCATGTAAAAATGAATATTTAAAAAAATCTAATATTAAAAAGTAATCTAATATTTAAAAAAAAAAAACATGCCCGCTGAGTTTCTTGCCAATTCTTCTCAGGACTGAGGCTAGTTCTTGTGAATTGGCGGTAGTTCTTTTGACGTTCAACAAGTATGTACTTTCATTTATGTTGAATAATTTTATTTTGATTTGATTTGATTTGATTTGATTTGATTTGGTGGTTGTCATTATTCCGTCTATTTCCACCGCGTTGGAGTTCCAAAAGTAGATGAAAGTAAATTTCAAAGTTACCAAGACTTCGATGCGATGTTTCAAGGTGCACAGCTATACTCAGTTTAAATAAAGGCTGACAAGTTTTGGTGGGAACGCGAGGAATGAAGGCACGTAAATAGTTTCTTTGATTGTCATCTTAGCAGTATTTCGGGTTTAAGCGTATTTGGCTTGTTGTTAACGAATATTTGGAAGTGCAAAAGCGTGTTGAAATTGAACAAGATCGCTAGACGTGGCTTCTGGGGGTTCTCCCAATATGTTAAAGTTGCGGTAATTGCCAACTTTTTTTTTTTATTGCTTAGATGGGTGGACGTGCTCACAGCCCACCTGGTGTTAAGTGGTTACTGGAGCCCATAGACATCTACAATGTAAATGCGCCACACACCTTGAGATATAAGTTCTAAGGTTTCAGTATAGTTACAACGGCTACCCCATCCTTCAAACCGAAACGCATTACTGCTTCACGGCAGAAATAGGCGGGGTGGTGGTACCTACCCGTGCGGACTCACAAGAGGTCCTACCACCAGTGAACTATTTTATTGAAATATTTAAATGCGTTCTATTTCATTTCCATGAACGTTTCGCCCCTGGCTTCTTAATACAAAAGTCTTGGTAGTACAGGTAAAGTACCTTTTGCCTTTGCCCATTGATATAATCTAACACTAAACTGTATTTCATTGTGACTTGGTCACGGACGATGCGCTCTGCGATACATTCATTACCTTCATTAAAAATGTCTCGTCAAAAACACATCTGAATTAATGTCGCAAGAATTGCATCGTAAAAATTAAAGGTTAATAAGAATAAATAAAAAGCATCGTTGCCACATCATTATAACGTGCATTAACGATTTAAAAAATGTTGAATTTAAAAATAAAAGTTCCATTAAGACTTAATCTCGTTTGACCTGATGAAAATTCAAACTATAAACTCTTTTTGGAAACAGTCAACAGAAATGGGTCAGCAAACAAAAAATCGATTCTCCAAAAACGGGATTAAATCGATTCGTTCACTACATCTCTTTAAATTGCATATAATTGTCGAAATGAACCGAACCGGTCGCCGCAAATCTGAATGTAATATAGAAATGGAACAGACTTTGTGCCGCGCTCCGAACCCCTTCGAAAGCGAAAGTGTAACGTGGTCCTACGTTCTGCCCGCCAGTTTTTTTTCTTCGCTCGGCCGCTCATACCGCATATATATAGCGAAGCTACGGACCAACACGCATCATTCGTATTCAGGACTTCGCTGACTTCAGTGCAACCTACTAGTGCAGCATCATGAGACCAATGGTGTGTTCAAAATAATAATACAGTGTGTTACGTTGTGATTCAAAGAAAATGTGTTCGCGATTCAGATACAGAACGCCCCTAGGGTTGTATTGTCATAAATAGAAAGAAAATTAAACGGGAAACTCGTGTGAAAAATCTCGATATACCATTACCGATATATACAAAATCCCATTTTAATTAGTCTAAAAATACATGAATAAATTTCACAAAAATAACTTTTCTTTCTCGTTTTTTGCAGCTCGTGGCCGCCAGTCTGGTGGCTTTATTGGCCCTCGCTTACGCGGAAGAAGCCAAAAAAGCAGAAAAGGAAGTGGCAGTGACCGATAAGGAACCGGCGGCTGACGACAAGAAACACGAAAAGAGAGGGCTCTTGGACATCGGCTGGCACGGCGGCTTCGATGGTGGTTATGGAGGCGGTGGTTATGGAGGCGGTGGTTATGGAGGCGGCGGTCATTATGGCGGGCACGAGGAAGTCCACAAAACCGTAACTGTCGTTAAGAAAGTTCCTGTTCCCTACCCCGTCGAAAAGCACATCCCCTACCCGGTAGAAAAGAAAATCCCCTACCCCGTGAAAGTGCACGTTCCCCAACCCTACCCCGTTGTCAAACATGTCCCTTACCCAGTTAAAGAGATTGTCAAGGTACCAGTTCACGTACCGCAACCCTACCCAGTCGAAAAGAAGGTGCCTTACCCAGTACATGTCCCAGTCGACAGACCCGTCCCCGTCAAGGTATATGTGCCAGAACCTTACCCCGTTGAAAAGAAAGTTCATGTTCCAGTCGAAGTGCACGTGCCCGCTCCTTACCCAGTAGAGAAGAAAGTACCTTACCCCGTGAAGGTTCCCGTACATGTGCCTGCTCCTTACCCCGTATACAAAGAGGTACAAGTACCAGTAAAGGTCCATGTGGACAGACCCTACCCCGTGCATATTCCCAAACCAGTGCCTTACCCCGTCGAGAAGCCCGTCCCATACCCGGTAGAAAAACCAGTGCCCTACCCCGTTAAAGTACACGTTGACCGCCCAGTGCCTGTCCATGTTGAGAAACCAGTTCCGTACCCCGTGAAGGTACCAGTGCCCGCCCCTTACCCCGTCGAGAAGCACATCCCGTACCCAGTAGAAAAGGCCGTGCCGTTCCCAGTTAACATCCCCGTCGACAGGCCATACCCAGTCCACATCGAGAAGCACGTGCCTGTGCACATCGAGAAGCCCGTACCGTACCCGGTTAAGGTACCGGTACCAATCGTCGTCAGCCACGAACATGGTCACGAACACGGTCACGACTTCGGTCATCATGGAGGCTATTAAGGCTGCAGGAAGCAGACATCTGATTGTGATATATAAATATAAGCTTAGCACATAAAAGACGAGGCGTGTGTCACTAATAGGATAGTGGTCGGATTCCAGATCCTAACGTATTCCACGTCCTTAGATCGAACGCACTGACTTAATACTCTAAGTCTATGTATTTTTAATAATTTTTTTGTTGTGAATTTTTTTTTTTTGTTAATTACGTTTGAGTTGATGTACCTGTTATGGTTAAGTTACGAAAAGCTGTCTCCAATTTTTTATTAGTAATTCGAAATGAGTATTAGTTGCTCGTGAAATAAAAGTTTTTTTTTCGAATAATAAACAAATTTTGTTTCCATTTACGATTATATCATTGCTTGTAACATATACAGAACATTGTGGAACGCGTTCTAACTACATTCACATTGAAAACACGATTTAACTGTCAGACACTAAAACAATTCTTACGAAGCAAAATTACCTAACATTACAAGAAAACTGTGAGCGTAAAACGTATTGCTGTGCTTACCCCAAAAGGCGATTACCGTAATGATAAATCCAACTGACCATTTAGCATGGTAAGTAGGTGATTATTGCAAAATATGAAATGATATGGCCCGGTTAAGGCTTCGTGCTCCAAATTGCGCAACCTCCTTATTTACTTGACAATGTACACAGTATGTGATCTTAGAGTATTTTTGCGTAATGTTTTGTTTTGCGCTATTACGCATTGCGGTAACATTATTAACGCGTTACGTGTTGCGTAAATAATTTTGTTGTTACCTTATTTTAATTATGAAAATTGACTGTTTAATTAATTTTGTTATTAAGCGCAAATTGAGGTTTATGAATTCAGGCGAGAGAACCGATTTAGTAACGCATGCGCATTATACGGATTCATATTATCGTTAACTGCTTTTTTCGGTCGGAATACAAATGTCTATTGACTTCCGCTCAACATCTAGAACTGGCTAATGGGATATATTTGAGTTGAATCAATTAAAATCTATTACTCAAAAACAATAACCGATCGCGGCACCTCATGTGGCGAAGGTAGCGTGAGGCGGAGCATTTAGACAAACATAGATATCTTCCCATCACTTCACCACATAAACTTCTGAAGTAGACCTTTTTATCCATATCTATTCGCCGGTAGCCTAAGGGGTATTATAGGTATTTCAGCTACGCGCGGACAGGTAGGTGAGCTCACGGGCTCAACCTGTGAGAATTTGCTAACACTAGTCCTCCTGACGTCCAACCTGAGAGAAACTCAGCCGGCTGTGTCTATGAGTCAGTTCGCTCGTCAAATTCTTCGTCGTAATCGACGACTTCGATGAGAACGGTGACCGGTGCTTGAGAGATAGGCCATAAACGCTTCCCAGATTACTGCAGGAATTGATGGCGAAGACTACAAATGCCATCATACACATCATTATTTTTTTGTTTTTTTCTAGGGCTCTCTATTTCTAGACTGTAATTTTCGATAAAATTCTTTACAGTATTCTCTCAGTAAAAAGATAGCGTGTAAATATTGAACAGTTGTATCAATTTAGAAGTCTGATATCATGGAAATGCCATTGGTCCCTAATGTCGAGATATATTATGTCTTTTATGAAATGTAAAATAATAATGTAATTTTATAAGCGCACTTCAACAGTTTTATTAATCGTGACATTAAAAAAGGCTAGCGTCTATGTAGGGTTATCACATGCACAATTAGAGATTGTTTTAGTCGATTTAAAAAAAAAAACATTTTCGATATAGGGCCTATTAGAATTTTAGATTATCGTATGAGGAAATGTCCGATTTCATTTCCAGAATTGTCAGAAAATGTAATTAAGTAAAATTTTGCTGCGAAATTTTAGTTTACTTAAATCATATTGATCATGATAACGTTGAATTAAATACATTGCTTATTTTTAAACAGTTCTTGAAGTTCACGGCCTGGGCTTAAGTTATTGCGGGCCTTTTAACTTAAAGCAGTAGGTCAGACAGGCAACTTTATTATGCAATACCAAACGTACCCTTCAAACCTAATGCGTCACTGCTTCACAGCTGAGATAGGTAGGCTTACGTGATACGATATGACAGAAGCTAGCGCCGATTTCGGTAAAGCGACACGACACGAGAACCCTCTCATCGTGGCCGCCGGTAACTACATAGCCGATCCTGCGAACCAAATGGTAAACAGTCGACGTCGCACAAAAAAAGTTATGTCGGATCCTCCCGATCCACTAACGGTGCTTTTAGGTACCCCAAGCACCGGACATCGTTCTCGTCGAACCCGTTACGACGAAGGGCTCGGCGAGTAAACTAACCCACATACACAAGCCACTGAGTTTCTCGTCGGATCTTCTCAGTGGGTCGCGTTTCCGATCCGGTAGTAGATTCTGCGAAACACGGCTCTTGCTAGGGTTCGTGTTAGCAACATCGTCAGGTTTGCACCTCGTGAGCTCACCTACTAGCCCGCCGAAGCTGACATTATCTCTCTAGACCATCAGCTTAGGTAGCAAAATAAAAGCACCAAAATAAAAATAAAACTATAATAAGGTTTTAAGATCATATTAAAGATAATATTATTATGTCATCCGTGCCAGCCCTGAGTTCAATTGTAATTTTCACCGTGACTACAAATATGACGACAGCATAAAGTATACAGTAATAACATTGTTCACGTTTTTACGAAAATACTATAAGGAATTGTTTTTAGGTTAGCGGGTAAAGCAAAGTTTTATTGGTGGTAAGGGGTTTCGTGAGCCCGCACTTGTAGGTATCTCCACCCACCGGTTTCTACCGCGAAGAACATCTAATTCGGTCCGGCTTCAAGAGTGTGACAGCCGTCGTACTATAGAACTGAGACTTAGAATTCGGGTCCCAAGTTGCAAGATATCAATGGGCTACAGTAGCCCGGAGGCCTCTCCAGTTTCACCAGAACTGGTGGGCGAGCAGAGGCTCAGTCAGTAGGGGTGGGATTTGCTAACAGCTGCCCGAATGCAAGGAGACCTAATGACTCAAGGGCAGCTGCTTCGAGAATTAATCTACTGCCGGATCGGAATCGCAACCTACTGAGAAAATCCGTCGAGAAACTCAGAGGGTCTTTAGGTTAGGTTGCACGTCGCACTCTTTGCCGAGTTCGGTTACCGGGGTCGCTAAGCCTGCATGCTAGAACTAAAGGTCTCTACTGGGTGCAAGGGCTACTGGATCTGATGGATCCGTAAGGACGTGTCTAGGGCGTCGACGGTGACTTACTCCTGCGTGATCAGGATTCGGGGAGTAGTCAGCGGCGACAACGATAAGGCAATTATCATGATGCATAGACTTATGGAAGTAGCGTTCCGACGCTGACTTCATGTTTTTTTGGATGGATTCGGGGCCCAGGTCGCCGTGTAGGTCAACGTTTCTCATGAACCATGGTATGTGCTCCTTCATCTGTCTGAGCAATAAATAAATAAAAAATAGTTTTGATGTTATATGCGAACTCCATTAGATTGTTCCGTTTTCAAATTTATACTGTTTTAATGTTAAAATACTATCATCAGTAACTCCAAACTTACGAAACCCATTGACTCAAAACTCGAAATTTTTCAATTGTTTTTTAAAAGTAATTTTCAAAAAATCGTAATTAGCGAACGCAATCTATGTGTTACAAAACCACGGTGTATTCGTTCAACAAACAGACAATCAGATAATCAAGCAGTTAACGAGTGAGGACACAGCACTAGTTGTACAGAATGTACGTTATAATTTATTTAGGTGTTATATTTGCAAACCGTCCAATCAATCGTCAATGAATACGTTTTAAATTAATTATTTTAAATGTTGTTTTGGGCTCTTTGTAGTGCTAGATTCCGTTTTTTTTTTCTATCAGCCCACAGACTTCCTCTGTTGGATATAGGCCTCCTCCTCCAAGCTTCGCCACGAAGATCGGTCCTGCGCTGCCTGCATCCAACGAATCCTCGCGATCCTCAATAGGTCGTTGGACCATCTTGTGGGATACTTAACCACGCTACTCCTCCCGGTATGCGGTCACGGCTCAAGAACTTTTTTATAATGAACTAGCCGTACTCGCCCGCTTCGCTGGGCTTTTAAAATTAACATTATTATTTATTGTCATTATTATTAGGGAGTCCAACACTCATATAAATATTAGCCTATCCATTAAGTACATGTATTTTCTACACGGATACCAAGTTTCAAGTCAATCGGATGCATGGTTCAGTAGTTATAACGGAACATCCGTAAAAACCACTGTAGTTTTATATATTAGTATAGATATAACAACATCTGTAGTATACAGTGTTTTCTTCTGTACAAGACACAAAAACGCCAGACAATAATATCCTAAAATTAATAATGCCACTAATAATAATCCACTTTTGAGGAAATTACTAACGTGTACAGGCTCTGATATTTAGCAAGACGTACTTAATCGTTTTTTACGTCAATAAAAAAACAATGAACCTTCTGTACAATTTATATTGTTATGAGTCATTATTGGTCGATGTGCTAATTCACTTTCAAGTCTGTCATACATCTTCAGTCGCGTGTGACTCCTGCCATTACTGGAGGGAATTCTTTGGCTAGTTGCCTGCATGCATGCGAGGCAGGTTCCTTATGGTTTCGATTTAGTAACAATCACCAATTATTTTCATTCATTACATTATTAAATGTATTTAGTTATATAATAGGTTGGGGAAAAAGTTTCTTCGCATTTTTTAAGAAAATTCACAACTAAATTTATTTATATTTAACTAAAGTATGTAGGTACTATTTCTGTTCGATAACTTTTTGCCATCTTGTAGTTAGGGACATGATCCCATTGCTATAGAAATTTTGGGGCTTCTGATCAAAATACCGCGACAATCGGCTTTGGCAGTCCTCTCGTGTTGTCAACCTGACACTGCCTAAAGAATTCTGAAGAGACCGAAACAGGTGGAAATCTGAAGGTGCAAGGTCAGGACTATACGGCGGACGCATTAACACCTCCCAACTATAATTAATAACTATTTAATATACCATTATCAATTATACGCTTGGTCCAAGATGAGGAACGTGATTCTGACCAAATTATTATTAGTTTGTATCAATTTATGGAAAGCGCAATACCTACAAAATGCACCAAAATCCTTGGTTACGTATTCGTCTAGATTTGATAACAGCATTTGCTATTCAAATTCAGTTAATCAGAGCGTATCCCCAAAACGTATTCGCATCAAGGACACAATATGAGTAAACATAATTTAATGCCTAGTGAATTCGTTCCAGAACGGAAAAAGCAATGATTTTTTTTACAGTTACCAGAA